CTAGTAAATTCCAGTTTTAAGGTCAATCAGTTACGACTGTGCTAATCTGCAGTTACTGACTTCTTTGCCTTCTGATCTCTTCATGGTGAAATCTGAAGATGAAACTACAGTGACCTCCACCTGCCTTTCAATACCATCTTTAGAAAACCGCGGGTGAGGTAAGGCTCCAGAGCAACTGTGCCCATCCTGTGGATGCGATAGCAGGGCAGGGATTTTAGTTTGTGAGGGCAGGTCTGAGTAAATTATATCCCAAACTTTTGACTTGTAAAGGCAAAGAAACCTGTGGTTTTGTTTACCACTGTTGACTGCAGCAATGCTGCTTTTTATGTCAACATACATTTTAGTAAATGTTAGCTTGTACTCTGTAGTGACGGGCTGTTTGCAGTAACCTTGGGAATACTGCTCTTATCTTTTATTTACACAACAATTGCAAAGATTAGGTATTTTTCCACAATGTTTAAATGCTTTTTTTTTCTTCTATCTTCAACAAGGGCTGAACTTTAAACATTTCAAACACTTAGGGCCCCGCTTGGAAGACGCAGAGTTCACACAGTGCTTGTCATTTGCTGGCAAGTCTATCTTGATCAGAGTACACTTGCATTATCATGACTATACTGTGCAACTCAGGTCAAATGCAACGGTTGTCTGAGACTACAGCAAGGAAAATGGAAACTGGAGTCACAAAACGGAGCTGGACTAGGACTACAGACAGGACGGACAGACACAGTCTGTAGCATCCCTCTGGATGCATGCCACATCCATCGCTCTGGCAAGGAACCAGGTCTGTCACAGGCATTCAGATGGATGGGATTGATAGAAAACTAATTCATCATGATTACTGTCCACAAGGGTTTCTATAGACCTTTAATAAAATTTTATTTCAGTTACATGATTCTGAGGCTTCTGCTTTACACAATTTACTCACCACCCTCCAACCAGAAATTATTCTAAAATGTCATACATTAAACGCAATGCAGGGGTGCTGTGATCAGCTTTACTGGCTTACCTGTATGCCTGTCCTTAAACATATTACGCAACCTCTTCATGCCACAGTTTCACCCACGCCTGTGTTAACAGGAAAGACGTGAAATTGCATTTGTCTATCTGTGCTGAAACAGCAGAATAAAGCCCACTGGCATAAGCGCAACACTTGTTTGAAGAGCACCCTAGTGGAGTGGAGGGAAGGTGATGACAGGTCTGCAGCACCCACACATTCCCCTGCTCCATAAAAACCTGGGTTTTCCCCCCATCTCTCTTTCAGCACAGAATAAGTACGTCTGCCCCTCTGTGGGTAAGGGGCTTGAAGTTTTGTTTTGTTTTGTTTTGTTTTGTTTTTTTGTTGAAAGGTAATTTTCTCAATTGCACCACAAGCCACATCTCCTCTGTATCTTGCAGAGAGCAGCTGAGGTGAGTTGCGCAGCTCTGTAATGCAAAGATGTTTGGGGTGGATATGAAACGGAAGGGAAGGAATGCTGGAACATCAGCTCAAGCTGATACAAATTTATTTCTCTCAGGTCAGATCCTGCACTGTTCTCATTATATAGACCGTAACACTTCCAGAACTCATGCTCTGCTCCTTCAACCAGCAACACTCTCATGGAGGAACAGCTTCAACTTTCCAGAGTTTTCCGCTTCCTGGCTGTGTGTAGAAATTAGGAAGCTATTTAATCTGTTGTACATGAAGGACCAGTCTATCAGAAGAAGCAGATGCAAGGTGAACAGGGACTTGATAAACCTGTCAAATAAATCTTCTCCAGCCCTGGTTCCCTTCTAGCAGCATCTCCTGGACCTTCAGCCTGTTCGGTCTCTGTCTCCTGAGTGGGAAACTTCCTATCTCTTTGTCGCTGTTTTTGTTTTCTGGCCTCTCCTATAAAAACTGTGTGTTTTCATTTCATTCGCACAGTCAGTCGACAGACTGTTTGCACATAAAGCACTAAGAAGCAAGAGACTATGGCAGGACTGTTTTGGAGCAGCCTCCAGGGACATAGCAAGACTGGCCTATCAAACATGGGTATTTAAATTTACTCACGATATCCCTGTGAATACTGCAAAACCTTCACAAAATGGCACAGACCTGATGATTATACTTTTTAATTTTCTAGTTCACCTGAAGCTGAAAGTGCTTTACGACACTACACAAACTGACCTGCTATTTCCAAACAAGGCCCTGTCTCCAAGTGAGTGCGTGCAGGCTGTTTAACACTGCACCCAACACCTTAAAGGGTCTACGAGTGGGAAGTGAAGAACAAGGAATTAGCAGCAAGCAGAAAGTATCAATCTGATCAGGCAAGTTGCAATGAAGTACGTCACTGCTGCCAGCATAGGATAGTTACTCTTAGTATAATTTTGCCATCCTAACCATGCCATTGGTCAGGTTACTCAACCTGCTTTCAGTGCTTATCTATTAAGGACTTTGTTCTGGTACGTGACTGTGAAAAAGGCGTTAAAAAAAAGTAAGTTTCCTGTAGCAGGGATATTCCAGTTGTATAACTACCTCTGGAGGATTTTTCCCAGGGCTAAAGGACTTTGTCAGGTGTGCAGGACACCTACAGCTTTTGTTGCCTTGACAACTGCTCAACTCTAACCCATGAAAGATGCCTCAAATTTACATCACCTATTGCAAACAGTAATTACCCAAACCCTGAAAACTGGTGTTTGCTTGACTGAAAAATTCAGAGCTTGCTCTCCTTGATGGACCTCTTGCAGAAGCCAGAGTAATATCAAGAAAAAGAAACATGTAACAGAAGGAAGTGGCATTTCATATTTTCAAAATGGTCTAACAGGAATGGAAAGCAGAGGGGTTCCTTCCTACATGCCGCCCTAAGCTAACATTCACCCTGATGAATACCAAAGGGAAATTACAAGTTTCCTTAAAAATGTCTGTTGTTCCTGCAGAGCTTATGTTGCTCAGAGGGATTTATAAGGATTTGCACTGAAACTTCTGTGTTGATAAGGCATCTTTCAACAGAAAAAAAAAAACCCCAAACCTACAACTCACAGAAGTCACCACAAACATTCCTCAGGACAGCTACTTCTTCCAGAGTGGTAAAATAAAACAGCAATACCATATGAGAGCACTGGGCCAAGGACTGGAAAGAAGTTAAGGAGAACAGAAGTAAATTACTAGAATTTATTCTCACACTAAGCAACTGAGTAAAAAATCACATTACCCTACACACTTGCAGTCACTCTTCAGCAAAACCAAGACAGAGATAAACCACGCCTCCCAACAATCTTCACTTACAGTACTGCTAAAGCAAACTTCGCTGAGCACAAGAAGAATATGTTTCAGAGCTTCAATGTTCCTTTGGTATAAATATCATCTTGTTTGGGGAGAGAATGAAAGACTTACACAATTTGTTAGACTTCATTAAAAAACAAAGAAACAGATGTATGTCAAAGCAACACAGAACTGGTGGTCTTTAGTTAGTTTATGAACAACCACGTTATATCACCATTAAAGTTGATGTTGGAGGAGTTAGGTCTTAACTGACAACTGTTTTCAATCCAGAGGAAACAGCCTTTGTAGCACATGTAAGAATATAAAGCTTATCATGGCAGGAAACCCTCCCAAAAGCTTACAGAAAAAATATTTCTGTGTTACCAGACAACCAAAAGAGACAGTTTTTAAGTTGCAAGAATAGGATGTTACCCATAGCCTTGTGCACTTATTAGAACTTCCATCCTAACATTTGGGAGGGATTTTAAATCACTCAGGTTTTGTGCTCTTCTAATTTAAACAGAATCTGGCACCTAGAATAATAAAATTTTGTCTACTGTTCACAAGAATTTTATCAACAGTGTTAACATGATTAATTCCAGTTTGTTACTTGCTCTTAGATGGATGCTACAGGGATGCAAGTTGCCAAAATTGCACCAGATTAATTTTTCTTAGACCTGGCTACTTGTCAGTTTACATGGCTGAGATGTTCTCCAGCCCTTCACACATCCCTCCAGCACCTGCAAACCTTGAAGACAAAATAGACACAGACCACTTTGGTAGAGAGAGGGAAATCTGTAACCCCAAACGATGGCTTTGTAATAGTGCCACTAGTGGGTTGAGCCTCAAGAGGCATTCTAAACAATTTATCTTTTACATCATGCAACTGCACTAACACCAATGCTCCATACCACGTGCCTTCTACACAAGCTCTCTAAGACAAATCAGGCCATTGACTAGATACGAGTATATAACAGCGTCTCTTCCATTGCTTAGGACTGTGCCATTAGTGTCACTCGTAGGGGCTTTCCAGGATTATGAGACTGTGACTGCACCGAAGTAGCCAACAGAGACCTGACCCACTTGACCAGGTAGGTAATGGTTGTAAATCATGTGCACTGTACGGGGTTCACAGCACCAGAAGCTATATATGTACAGTCAGGAGGGGCTTCCTTGAAGAATGAGGGCTGGCATTATGCCTCCGACTCAGATTAGGGGAAAACTCTCCAGATTGTGGCTGTTAGAAAGAGATGACAAAAAACAGATTTTGTCCTCCTGACTGAAAGAAAGCCCGCTGCTGGGTGTTTAGCAATGTCACCTCCTTCAACACCTGCCTTATCTCAATTTCCCTCAAAGTCAAAGCAAAGGTCAGTGGCGTGGATATTCTCAGGAACCAGCGTAGAACAGCAGCAGTGGAGAAGTAATGAAACACGGCCCCACCGGTGACAGCAAATGTCACCTTGCATCCTCCTCACAGCTCCAGAGCAGGGCCAAGGAGCCTCAAGCCTGGGGTACCTCTGGTAGCTCATTACTCCAATCAATCTCCTCTGCCAGCTCTGCCCCTGTGGCAAAATTTAACCAGTAATGACCACTGTGGGCATCTCTTTCATAGTCTCAATGCTGAATACCAGAGCAGGGCACCTGAGCTCCTGGCAGTCCTCTTACCAGCACACCTGAGCTCTTGAGAAGGGCTCTGCCTGGTGAGTAAGAGATCTGGCAGCACTCAGCTGCCCGCAATCCCTCTGAACATCCCTGTGAAAGGAAATCAAAACACATTAAAAAAACTGAATGTGTGGTTTATTATATTTAAGATGCTACCTGTTTATAGGGTTTAAATATGTCTGTCACACAGTTAACAGTAAATGAATGTAATTTTACATGGTCAGTATTTTGATACAGAGTACAGGACTACAAGTGTGGTAAAGGAGCATGGGAAATTAATATTTCCTTGATGCACGTATCAAATCCTGCAGCACCACTTAAAAGCTCAGAGTAAGGACTCAAGCTGCAGTATCACAAATGCTACTAAATAAACCAAGAGACATACCTATATTAAACATTAGAGAAACAAAACAAATGACACAAGGGTTTAATATTTAAGATTTGATACAGAATTAAAATACTAATATTTTTAATGTCTTGGTTTCAAATTAATAAATATAAAAACAATATAAAAATATACACCAGTTGATAAAAGGATGCACTGAGTAAGGTTAGGAAGTTAAATTTCACTTTCAAACGTATGCAGGTGTGTCTTTAGGGAGAGGATTTCTGTGTAGCTGCGACTGGTCTTTCGGAAGAAATCCAAGCTTGTGAGCTGCTCGATGTCACGCACACGTGCAGTGTGCATCTTAAGAAGATCTTCAACCCACTTTGATTCATCCTCCAAGCTCTGCAATGTAAAAAAAACCCAAAATAATAATTTTATAACGTCATGTCAAAAATCAACTCTGAAAGCAAATGCTACTTTTTCTAAACATTGGGGCTGTGTGAATAATCTCTGTACTCCATTCAAGAATGCCTAAGGCAAACAAATTTTAAGAAAACAGATTTGAAACCTAACATGCAAGATCATTTCTACAGTTTTATTTCAGGACCCATTTCAGGATGGGGTTGAGACAATGACCATAATTATCTATGAAAAGCTAGTCCCATGTTGCAGGTGTTTCAAAAGACAAGTCATATGCTTTTAGAAGATCCATCGCTACATAATTTTTATCTCATGGAAAGAGCTCCATATTAATCAATTCTGTATTACCAAAGCCTAAACTCTCTGCTGTTTAGCTTTGAACCCTACCCATACACATTATTCTTATCTGACCAGCATCTGATCTAACACAGTATTATTTTAATCTTCCCACTTTAATGTTAGGAAATCATTACAATTCATTGAACAGTTGGGACTACAGTTTTATGTTGGTACCTGTAAAAACCTGTTATTGGAAGATACATATTATTAACTGATAGAAAAAAGACTCACTAAGCATTTCCCAATATAAAAAGGAAAACACCAAAAAATCAGGAAGGTGATGCTGCCAGAGTGATCAGGGTCAGGTTGCGTGGATGTAATCTCTCTTAGGGGACTGTTCCTGCTGCATGCCTTGTGCCAGCTCTGGCACATGTTGGAAACATCTACAGACTAACATAACTCACTAGCACATCAGAAAATCATCCCTGCATCCCTTACTGGCTGTTTGAGCGTGTTAACCAGACCAGTGACATGTCCTGTGAACACTGCAGCCAGTCCCCACCACAGCACAGCGGGGAACAGACGTGGGAAAAGGACAGAGCAAACAGGACTTTCACCCCTTTAGCCTCCCTAGCTGGTACATCTACACTGCTGCTGGGGAAGCAAGTTGGGAATGGAGGGTTGTGCCTCTGGGCATTTGGACTTTACGTGTGTGACTTGGAAATTTTGCTTATAAAAATCTATTTCTGGTCTGTCTTCTGAAAATGAGTCCTCTTCTGACTGTCTCAGCAAGGTCCTCCTACAAAGCGATCCTCTCACTAACCAAGACTAAGCTTGAGCAGCCCCAGAGCCTAGCCAACGCAGTAGACGTGCCACAGAGCAGGCAGTGGGTCACCCAGGTTGTTGAGCGTGATCGTTTGCACAGAGAGGACATGAAGTACCAGCTAGGTCCCAGCTGGCTGCTCTAAAGCAAACATCCATGACCCAGTCAGCACTTGAAGCTTTGAAGCTTTTCAGCCCTAAACTGACTTTCCTCTTTCCTCTCCATGTCACTAGCAACCTGAGGCCCCAAACTGCGTCTGGAACATGAAGAGAAAGATGCAAGTGAAGAAGGAGAAGAAGGGAGCACATGCCCTCCTCACTCCCTTTCGCCTGCAATGCCATGCTCCAGTGGCGCTGCCAGGCAGCACGTGGCTGCAGGAAGGATCCTGCTCAGCCTTCAATCTGGCCATGGCGCTGCTGACGACTGGGTCACTACTGAAAACGCAGCCACTGGGACATGTTTATTGTTTTCAAGCCTTTCTTCTCAGCATGAAATCTGCATGTTCTGGAGCTCAGAGATATATCAAATTGCTGCAAAGCTCACTTTTTTCTTCCGAATACAAGGAGGATTCTAAGAGTTTGCAGAAGATCTGCAATATGGATACATCACAGAGCTGCGAGGTTGCTTTAAACCAACTCCAGCAAGGCAGCATTTGCATGACCCTAGAAAATCAGCTATCTAGGTTTTAGGTGTTCCATTCCACAACTGCACGATGAAGCCTCAGGTCCAGCAGCAAGGTTTTTAACCACAATGATCAGCTAACATGGTATTATGTTACTCCAGAACAACGAATGAAATGTGTACGTTTAAAATTATAGCTTTCTCCAACTGCCTCACCTCAGTAGTAGAGTGAGTCTTAGAAGGCAAAAATAACAATTAAAAACAGGGAGGTAAATAGAAACAGACAATCTTTTAGGAAGCTAACGAAAAATCCATTGGAAAAATATTCTGGAGAAAAGAATCTCTCTGAATATCAAATTATTAGCTGAAAAGCTGAACATGGATCAGAGTGTAGACAGGTGGGTGAGAAACTCATTTATTGAAAGAGAAATTTAAAGGTTTTGCTGAAAGAGAAAACAGTGGCCTGGAGATATTTCCTAGTGGTGTTCTTTGAGCTTTATTTTTGGAAAGGATTTTGTTTAATGTTTTTGTACATGTTTTTTGTGTGAAGGTCATTAGTGTGCTAGTGAAAAAAACACAACAACAACAACCTGGAACTCCTGTCAGCTCAGAGGAAGACTGGAACAGCATACTGGAGGATGCAGATGCAGGACTCCTGATGTAGTATGAAACTGGATTATCAATATTAATGGTAAAGATTTCTGCTAAGATAGGAGCTTCTCAGATGAAACCGCAGATAGAAGAGAATGACTTTGGTGTACTGGTTTTTGCATGATAGTGAGCCACCATTATAACACAGCTATGGAAAAAGCTAATCCTGCAGAGTATCAGATGAGTTATGTCCAGTGGAATTTTCATTATGAGATCTCAGCTGGAGTACTTTACCCCATTCATGTTCCAGAAAAAAAAAAATAAAAAAATCAACAGGAACAGATACATACTACTATACTAAAATGCTCATCCTACCTTACAAGAAGAGCAAAAAAGATGCTGGGTCTCCCATGAATAGATAGAAGTATATGCCTTGAAAATCATCATAAATCATCGCTAGGGTAAATCCCAAAGAAGCCCAGTGAAGGGCTATTTAAGCCATAGAAAAATGTTGACACAAGAATAAATGGCTATAACCTCACCATGAATAAACACAGTTTGGAAATGAAACAAATTCAAGCGAGAAAAGCAGTGGTGTTCTCTAACGGCCATGTGAAGGGAGAAAGTGTGTGCAACAAGACCAGAGTGAGGGGAAAGCTAATATTTCCTCAAATCTTAAAAGAAAGCTGTTGAGAGGTTAAGGAAAAAATCTTAGATTATTCCATGCATTTCATCCATGAAGTATGTGAGGTTTTACACAATCACTTCTATGAACAAATAGGATGGAACACTATGTGCAAAAGACTGAGACTGTATTTGAATGGCAAAATTTTGCGTAACTGTATTTTCATTCAGGAGCTATATTTAAGTATTTTTGGAGTGGTTGTTTGCTATATAAAAAGCATGGACCAATATCTGCTAATGACCTTATAGCAGCACTGAAGTTCCTTCCAGAACTGTAAATACATACACAGTAAGTAGTATGACCTACAGAAAAAAAAAGTCTGGGTTGGAATATAAGAAATTAAAGAGAGACCCTTATTCTAAATAAAGAAGATTTCAGCAGTTTAAGAGGACCATGACACGCAATATAGGGAGGGGAGAAAATTTACTTTTTTCTAAAATTACATATGGGCAGAGATACAAGGACAGAGGCACTAATAACTGCCAGATTAGTAACTTAGAGATCACCAACTGGACCCCAGTTCAGAGGAAAGCAATCCAGAGAAAAACCACGATGAAATATATGTAGGACTCTCTGAGACTTCAGGAGGAAGTCATCTCTGCCCAAAGCAGTTAAGAGTCTAAACAGGGGAAAGCCAGACCTGCTCCAGAGAGAAGGATAGTGCTCCAAAAGTGTGGTTTTAAAAAGAGGGACCTGAAGGCAGGCGATGTTTGATGAATGAGAAAGAGACAGTGTTCCAGATGAATTGTATACAGAGTTAGAATGACTATTTCTGCCTGTAGCTGGAATTAAGAGTCTTAACTTTTTGTGCCAACACAAAATTCATAACATTAATGCGTTCATTCAGGAAACAGCCTCCTGGCAGCCTATAGTGAAGCGTCTGTATGCAGGAATCCACACAGCTGTGTAACGGGAGAACAAGTTCAGGCGGAAGGACGAGTCTAAATGCGGCTGCCTGGGAGGACGTCTGTCCTTGCAGAGCGCCGGATCCCGCCGGGACCCAACTGCTCTCCCACCACACAATGGGCTGCCGAGTGCCCATGTTGCTTTCTGCAGCAGTGACCAGACTGAAGCTTTCACCAAGATTCTTACACTATAGGGTCTTGCACCATAAAGGAAGACAGGAAAGGAACCAGGAGGATGTCTGTCTCTGTTAATTCAAACTTTTCCATTGAACCAAGACGTGTTCTGAAGTGGCAAGAGCTGGAACGCTACCCTTAGCCAGTTTTAGCATAGAGTTTTAATACTGTGTGAGTTGGAGGTAATCATGCTGTCTGATGCACCCAAACTGCCATAGCAGACAGACTATATGGTACCTGCATATAGAAACCAACCTCAATAAAAACATCAGGCTGGCTGCCAGCACAATACATCTCCACACAAAAATTCTCACAGTCTGGTCTGAAGTTACACTGGCAGTGTCCACCAAAATATAGAAGCTTACAGGTTGTTTACTGCCAACCTGCTGTCAGTTCTTCCAGACAATTTTAGGTGCAGTAATAGTTCCATATTTTCTCTGATATCACAGAGGAGTGTTTTTGCCTAATGAGTTGAACATGAAACCTTATTAGAGTTACTGCCCTGAGCTTTTATTCAAGACACTAGTGAGCACTAGCACCTAATAGCAAGAGGGTTTCATCTGTCCCAGGAATATATTGAACATGGGGCTACTGAAGTGCAGCAGAACTTACATTGCAGCTCTCGTCATTGTCAGGCCGGTGGGGAAGGATATATGAGAGAACAGAGAGTGGTCCATCACACTTGTCGGCTGGCTGAGTGAAATCTAAGCAGCTGGTTATGATGGCATAGTAATGAGTAGGAATGGGGATGGCGCTGCCTTCCACAAACCTGGGGGAATAAAGCAAACATTTGTCCACAAAGAATAAACTTGTTCTGGGAAATGTTAAACAAACAGCACGGTCTTTCCTTCCCTACATGTGAGAACACATGTATGTTGTTGAGGTGTGTTTGATACTTACACATTATCTGAAAATGAACATTCAGTTAGCTCATGTTCTGATACCCTGCTATGGAAATTCCACAAGCCAGTGCTGAACGGCTTCTTCAGTTCAGCAACATAGAGAGAAATCATTACTGAATTAACAAAACTTGAGCATCTAACCCAATATCACTACTATGGTTTGCTCTGGCATTCAGTTGTCAGCTCTTTAAATTCTGGAGAATTTTAGAGAACATACTTTATTTGAAATACAATTCAGCTTCGTCTTAAGGGTGAATGAACACTTGATTTCAAAGTCAAGTTGAATAGTTACCTACTGAATTGCCATTTCATTATTTTTACTGCTGTCCTACCAACAGGGATACTCAGTCTTGATGAACAATAGTTTCAGAAAGAGATAAAAAATTGTATCTCCTCTGAAAAAATCCAGTAATGTGCAGATAATGAATTTAGGTTAAAGCCATTATCAATAGATGCAACAGCAAACAAATTTAAAGACAAATTCTTACTGTTTTATTTTGTCAGGTGTGTCATGTAAGCCATCATAGTCATAGTCAAAGACTGGTCCACTTATAACATTGACTCCGTTTCGTTCAGTGGCATATCTCTTCACCAAAACTCTTTGGAAATAGTTCCACACCCCTGTGGGGAAGAAAAAAATACAACAAAACAAAAGAAAAAAAAACAAACCTCAAACACCAAAATCGGAGTAAGTCAAAACATGTCAAGATTATAAACATTTTTTTCCTCTGAAAATAAAACCCCAGTGGATATCATTCACACGATGGCTGGGGAAATGGAAGACTAAGCATTACAGATTTACTGCAGCTTCATTCAGTTTGGTCAATAAAGCCTATTCAGACTTCTTTGTTTTCTGCTGCTTTTTTTCTCCCAATTAGTGATAAAGGAAATGCACGGTACCACTCCCAGGCTGGCATTGCCATAGACATTGCACAGAGAGCCCGCTGTTCCCTCATCAAGCAGTGGAAACACTTATTCACACACTTTTGATGTCCCTATAAACATTTCCTTTGTCTTTCTTATCTAGTTACAGGGAATGGTGCTGAGTGGTGTTTTTTTTTTCATTCTAGAAAAGAAACAGCACCCTGATTAAAAACAAAACCCAAACGTTTTAAAAGGAAGAGAAATACAAAAGTCATGTTCCTCTAGTGAAACTCTCCTTGGATACAAAACATCTCACTTTTAAATTAGATGCTGTCAAGGATGACTGAATTATGACATGGCATCTTGTTAAAGCACCTTTGGGGAAGCGCATGACACTCATTCTCCCACCACACACTCGTCAACCTTAACAAGTTCGGATGCTTGCAGAGACGGGAAACACTGGAATCACCACTTACATCATTCTTTTCCTTTTTTTTTTTCTTTTTTTCTTTTAACACTAATGAAGTGTGTGTAAATGAAACATCTCAGACTTGAACTTTTGTCTTGTAAGCTCAGACTGTTAAGTCCATGGTTCCCTGGGATTGATGGCAACGCCAGCCTCGGCAGGTTCCTCAGCACGCCTTGTCCCGAGACTGCTCCGTGCCACATGAACTCCTGGCTGCAGCTGGGGCAGAGGGCCCCACACACAATGGTCTAGCAAGAACCTCAGCTTGGTAACCACTTGGCAGTACTGCTCACCCAGCTGCTCGCTCCTCCAATGCATCAGCCTTAACAATAAAAGCAGCCCCAAAAGGAAAGCTCTTTTTACCCCTCTGAGTTTTCCATCTGAATCAGTTCCCCACACAGACAGCAAGGCCAGGGCAATGGGGCCAGCACAAGGCATCATCTTGCAGCTCCAACAAAGCAGGAGCTGCTTAAGCCAGACTCGATACAGAAAAGAGGGATACAGAATTATTGCTTGGGGTGATGGGACTGAATTAAAAAAAAAAAAAACAAAACAAACCCCAAATGAGAGGAGGGGGCCTCTGCAGCCAGGCCTGCCACTAAAGGCAGCCCAGCATAAAACTGCCACCTCGTATTTTCCCTGTTGTGGAAAAAGCTCTGTATAATGAGCTTTATAATCAGCTCTCTGCGTTGCAACCTGCACACATGGAGTGGTTTGTAATTCCCCTGGAACGATATTAGTTCCAGCATTTGTTTTTAGTGAATCCTTCACCCACTTGTGATGAAGAAGGCCTCTAGAAAAAATGAGCTGCTAGTGGTGGGTTGTTCTCCTGTGATTAGCATTCAGCTAATTTGCTTAGACTAACATTAGCATAAAGAGTATTTTTATGAAGTGATTCGAGAGTGGGAAATCCCCAATAATTTTGCAGTCTGTAATCAGTTAAGTGCCTTTGCTCAAATTTCCAGCAAACATCACCACTTGTTCCTACTCAGAGGTTTCTCAGTTAAAAACACTCTTTTCTGGTTAAAAAGAAAAAGCCTCCTATAGGCTTTGATGTTTATCCAAACCTCTCTGGCCTAAAATCTGAATTGGAAATCTCACAAGAACAGGCTCTTGAGATTCTTCCAAGGCTTCTCAATTCCAGCCAAGCCAAAAACACCACCAGAATAGTCTGATGGTTTTCCTACCTCTTGGCAAAACTCTAGAGAGAAGGGATGTGCAGACAAAAGAAACGTTAATACTATATCCCTGCAGTGCTGAAAGTTTCAGCCAGGTTTAAGTCACTCCTCATTTTCTCTCTCTAAGGGCATGGACAGCAAAATAAAGAATAATCACTTGTCCCTAAATTACAACAACATGCTAAGTGCACATTCCCAGGCTTGTGCATGCTTCCAGGCAGCTCCAGTTGAGAAGTAAAAACGTATTGCTGCAGAAAAGAAAATCTGACTGACTTTCCACAAACTGAATTACAGAGATGCGGAGCAAAATTGCTAAACTACGGCATGTCTGTGCTCTTATCTTAGACCAGCACCAAGGAGAATAAACCTTTCTTAAAATATAAGCCTTTCTTGTGATATTTTGCCTGCCCATATGTAGAATGATAGAGGTGCCCACATGCTTTATCTGTTGACTAAAGGTACTGAAACTTTATGTTCTAAACTTCCTTCATTAATTCATTTCATAGTCCAACACACACAATAAAAAACCCCAACATGCTGGGAAAGAGAAATAAAGCCATGGAAAGGGCACTTACTTTTGAAGGCAGGATACATTGGAATGATATTTGTTATAAGAAAAGCATCATATTTTGCTTCTGCAGAGGAACTTAATTCTGAAAACAAAAAAGACAGAAAAATACTAATAAGATGAAACACCAGACATTCAAAAAATACAAAAATGTTCTGAAAAATGGTTTCGGAGAGTAAACAAAGGGAATACTATCATCTAAAAAGCAATCTGAACACTATATTCAGAAGTGCACATTATATGCATAAATTTTGTCTTTAATGTTGACAGCTAAACACGGAAAGTAAAGTTTTTTATCTTTGCTTCAGCTGTTGACCGCTTCAAAATATTTTTGTACCTCCTCAAAGTAGATGATGCAGTCTCAAAAGTCAGAGAGCTGCTCTGCAGACTTATATGAAAGAGGCAAATGACTTCCAGGGAGAGGAGTCTGGTACAATCTCCTCACTCTGAGCAAGCCTGTGCACCAGTAATTCCCTATCAGAGATACACCACAATATGTTTGAGCCACTGAGTGAGGAAGGCAGAGCAATGAAGTTCACAACTGTGAACTTCATGACTTCTGTTCACAGTTGTGTGCTTCGAACATTTACTAATTCCGAAAGATCACTGCTCCAAGACTGAAGTAATGTAACTGCACCAGGAGAGTCCAGGATGCTCATTTACACAGGTATTCTGCTAGCATTATTTCTAAGGGATGGCTGATTTTTTTACAGTATGCAAGAGTCTAATTTGTATTTATAAATTAAATATGCATTTATCTCACTGCTGTTCAAATTCAAACTTAAAAAAATCTGTCTAGATTCCCAGTTCATATAAACTAATATCTACTGACTTCAAAGGGCCAGCTTCTGAAAATTATCTTCTAGCTTGTGCTCCTTCCTACTCTGTGAACTTTCTCATTCACCTTCATTTTTATTAACTAAACTGGGACACTTCACTGATTTGGTGCATAGAGCTGGGCACCAGTTTGGAGCATATCTGGTGAAGCTGAGGGACCAGAGTCATGATGGCAACTTGTGGCATTGGGCCCTTGGTCCCAATGGTCTGTGGTCAGCAAACGCAGCAAAAATAATGTACCTATCTCATTGGGCCCCATATGTGACACCAGTGCAGGAGCAGCTTCTCGGAGAAGACATCACAAAGGAAGAAATCACCCTTAATCAGGGGGAAATTAAACCATTCCTTATTGTATTATTTCCCAACAACCTCAAAAATAAAATCTTAGTCTGTTTGTATCGTGAGGTGGGCATGTATTCATACTTCAAGTTTTCCCTAGCAAAAAAGAAAATTACAAACCCCCTAGGTCTTAAAAAGCTCTCTGAACTTACGAGGAGGGAAAAGGAAGCCATAGGAGAGCTGTCTGTCGCCTCTGTAGGCTGCGCAGCTCTGGCTGTGTCCTGGAGAAATGCGGAGGTCGGGCCTCACGCAGCTGACCAGGTGCTCTGGAATGCCCGATACCTCTGCCTGCACCAAGGAACATAGACAGAAACAACAAGAACAGTAATTCCAGCATTTATAGCTAAAAGAAAATTATTTCATGTAGTCAACAGGTTACGTGGAAGGCCTTGTGCGGAGCAAAACAGACCACCCAGGTGTACAGCCAAATCCTGCCCCTGTATCTGCTGCAGAGTCGCTCCTTCAGGTCGCAGAAGTTACCATGGGAAATAATTCAAATTAAGTTGCTGAATATTTCAGCATAATAAAACAAACCCCCATCAAGCAAAACTTAGAAAGAAAATAAAAACAGGACAAGAAATACAAAGACCTTCTGCGTTAAAACGTTTTTCTCCTGAAGAAAAAAAGTAATTTTTGCATTGTTTACAATGGTGAACATAATTTGACATAATTTCTGATGGGAAAATCTACCCGGGGAAGGGGAACTCAAGGACTTCAAGAACACAGTACCAAACACATTTCCCCAGGACTTTTTATGCAGTTTGTCAAGAGCAAAGACAGCACTAACCTGTTTGGAAATAGTGTAGGATGTCCAGAGAGGCATCAGGAATGTTTCGCTGTAGCCACTTTCAAAGTCATGGTGATGTAAGATATTGTATTTTGTGCGGTACAGTACTGCGGGGCGCCCGTATAGAAGATGCTTCTCTACAGATCAGAAGAAATCACATTTATTACTGAAAACCTTAAAGATGAAATAAATAAAAGAGATGGGAGGGGGGTGCTGGCTTTTCAACAGGTGCCCATTCTACAGTAATACTTAATGGGATACTGACCCTAATTAACTGCTAAGGACATCTCGTAGCAGAGAGAGCAACAGGTTCTTCAAAAAGTTTGGGTAGGAATCCCCATTCCAGGCTCACAACTCACTTTTGGTTAAAAGTCCCATCTGCACTTGAAAGCTTGTTGGGGTCATAACACGGAGAGAGGCTTTTCCTCAAAACACTTAAGACTCCACAAGAATCTTTGTGTCCACATTTCAGTCACACATGAGGTGATAAGCGTTTTTTTTGTAGCTTTAAATCAGTCCCTATCCTATAACTCCTGCCACTCTTCTCCACAGCTTCTCTCTTAGGTTTTTGCAAAGCTCCTCTCAAAAGGGAGGCAAAAATGGTCACACACTAAAGGAGTACTTTCTTCCCCTTGGCTGAGACAGATTGATATGCTACTTTCTGTCAGTAATATCAAAGAAAACTAACAAACAAAAAACCCTCTTCCTAACCTTGGCTACAAAAAGACACCTCTAACTGTAAAACTTGCTTTTCTTGTCTTGGTGATACGTTAAGGTTAAATATCACTAGATGCCTCTCACAAGCTTGCTTATAAAAAGACAAAAAGTCACTTAAAAAGATAGAAGAAAACCAAATTTTCTGGCTAATTTTACATTTTTCTGCACGGTTCATTGATTTTGATAACCATTTGGCAAACAGGCTTGGTTGCTTTGGAAAGCAAAACATGGAAACAAGGAAAGCGGGCTAACACTGTTCACAGATAAGCATTTAACCTGAAAGAAAAGGGCATGTTTTATTAGTGTTTGAGTCCAAAGAGAGGATATTTTTATAGGACACAAGAAAGAAAAGTAGGAAAGGCCTTATCTAAGGACAAAGATTATAAACTTGCTTTATTCAAGAGAAGATGAAGTCATCTTTCTTCTGTACATGAATAACAACATCAGATAAATAGGCATGAAGCACCACGCAGAAGGGAATTACCAGCTAAACTTTGGAGGATGTGTGCAAAGGTGCTACAGCCTGTCGTAAAATACGTGAATACAACTTGCACACAGCAGAACTGCTTGTTTTAACTTGAAGGGACACTTCATTTCACCTAACAGACAACATACAAATGAGTAAGTGAAATTGGTTTTAACGCTTTTATCTTAAAATATATAAAAAACACTCTCTTTATGCTGCTGAAGTGAAGAAGCATGAAGACCTTACAACAAGACATCTAGGAATACAATGGTGAAGGTGCTTTTTCTTGATACCAGAAATTGCCACAGCAGCAAGCAGTTCTTCACTAATTGGAAAAATCAGTTTAACAAGATGAAAGCTACACAAATGCAATTTAACTCACAAAGAGGAAGAACTTTCACCTCTAGAAACTAACGGACAGTGTGCATTGCCTATTCACAATAGAAAACCTGAAGAAGCAGTTTCATAAGGGAATTTAAAAATTAATCTCCTTAATCATTTGAGCAATACAATCTGAAGCATCTCAGAGGTCCACGTCTAAACTCAAAGCTTCAGAATTTCTTAATTAGGACAACTGTTAAGGTAAAGGGAATGCTGTGAATTGTGGTGCTATCACAGTTGTGAGAAGGAAAGCCCTGCTTTGGTGTGCCTTCGGGTCAGTATCACTGCTCAGAAAAGCAGTTGCCATCCCCTATTGCTACGTTTTAACCTGAACCACAGGCCTGATGCGGTTGAAAGCGCAGCCCCACAAAAGTCAGTGCTGGCACACGGCAGGGAGGGCACAGAAGGAACTCATTTCCAGGAGAGCAGGCGATGCTTTCTCCTAGGAGTACCCTTGATTTGAACGCTGATGAGGGACAGAATTGTGCTGAGCATCCCTAAACCAGCAGGGCCTTTATGCACTTGTTTCAGGGAATAACCTGCACCCTAAAAACCAAGCACTAAAGACTCAAGTCAGGGATTGTCAAAGCAGCTGTTCCATCCTTTCTACTACTGACCTGGTGAAACCTAAGCCTAAACAATACTGGTAAAGCACAGTGTGCAGGTGCGGTCTACATAGAATGGCCTAAACTGGAAGGGACCTTAGAGATCATTTTAATCCAGTCTCCCTGCCGCCAGGGACGCCACCTCTCGACTAGATCAGGCAACACACGGGGGTGGTTGAATGGAGTACTGCCTCATGCACCCTATCCCTCTCTCCCTCACCTCCCAGCTTCCACAGCAGAGATTAAACCTCTCAAATGTTATGTAAAGGAAGAGCTAAAACTTGTATCACTTTGAGTAACACTTTAGTCCTGTTGTGACAAAAGGTAGCATACACTCCCTTCTAGGAGCAGCAACTAATCTTGTTGTATCTCCTTCATGTCTATGGGCTATTTTAACTGTTATTTGAAAAGACAGATTATTACATATTAACTAAATAATGATGCAAAGTAACTTGCAAAAGAAAAGAGAAATAGCTTTTATTAACTGAGGCACCAGGCACCTACCTTCTGTTCCTTTGACATGAAAGCGCTTGTTGAGTTCATCCAACTTGTTCTTCTCAAGAATATGAAAAAGGAACAAGATTAGGATCACCGGAGCATTCTGACAACTTGTTTTACAAGGCTTCTAGCAAAACAGAACTAGCACTAGAAGACACTGATGATTTTTTTGTTCATTTCTTGTTTTACAAAAAGCCATAATTGTTCCAAAAGTGCACAAACACTTTGCAGGAAAGATCTGGGGAATTTGTCCAGATTAAAATCTCTCAAAATAGACAAAACCACTACAACTTTACTAGGCAACTACTGCTAATACTGAAAGCATCACAGATCCTAAACACATACCTTATCATCACATGTACATCCTATATCGAAATCTGATGCAGAAGGCAGAGCGACAGGATAGAGTGGCTTGGCAACTTCATCTGGCACAGTTGGTTTATAAACATTGGCTCTCAGCAGGTGATTTAAACTTCCATGGGTGCCATTATTGGGAGCAGGCTTTAACCCAAGCAGATCTGTGAAACGATCAAAGACAAATAAATGATGGTTAAACTGCAAACGTGTATTCAGCAGCATCTCTACCAAGCCAAGACATATTTCCAATACTGTTAACACCTGTTACATGTTAATGAATGCTTTTAAAACAACAAAAATATTAAGTTTTTGTCCAAATCATAAAATTGCAGATGTTGCCTGGATAGTATGCTAGCCTTTATGATAAGAAAGTTAATTTGCATCAAGGCACAGTTTTATTACAACTACTCCAGCAGCCTCCAGTGCAAACCTGCTGTCCATGTGCTGACCTTACACCAGCCCTCTGGAGCACAGTGTTATTAGTCATCTGATCTCTGGATAAGGGAAAATTACCTTTTTGGTCTTTCAATTTGAAAAATAAAATAAATACATAAATAAGTGAATTACACCTTTGGCTTGAAAGTTTCATTGCCCTGGAAAATCTGCATTAGAAAAACCAAACTAATGAACATCTGTATATGTCATCAGATCCTTCTTCATAGCTGCAATACAAGTTCAGGAAACGCAATCATACCAGAAGATGCCATGGAAAACTAAGTGATGCCCCTGAGCTGCTCCATGAGATATGCAGGTGCAGAAGCCATCTCTAACAGAAACCTTCCTACACTGCTGAGGTGTGGACACCGTGCACTGGTGTGGTGCGTATCCAACCTCTGCCAGGCTGCACACAACAAAACAACAGCAACCCCCTTTACTCAGAGCAAACTGAGGTCCCTGAGAAGTGCCTTCAGCCCTCCTGGCCAAAAGGCGAGTGCTCAGGAAAGGGGAACTAAGGAAGGGACACCAGGAGAGATTAAGGGCATGAGTTCATGAGTGCCTAAATGAAGTCCTGTTAACTAGAATGGCATTTCTCTTGCAATTTCTCAAGCAGGTAACTTACCACACATCACATTGTAAAGCTCAATATTTTCAAAAGGAGGTACTTTGGTCTTGTATTTGAAGGTAGGACCATAACCTATAAAGACAGTCTTATAAAAAGACGAGAGAAGAATATACAATAAGAGCATTAAAAGGTAGGGCTTTTTTTCAGTGAATATTTCAGAGGCCTCCAATTTCTTTTGCCTTCAATGACCCTCCCACAAAAGTCATAACATTGTTCATACCTGCATGCTGTTTATCTTGTTGTCATACCCATGGTCTCCATGAAAGAAGCATTTTCCTGTTGGTTTCTTGTAAACATCCACAGCTTTCCTAAATTGAAAAAGTATTAGAAAAACTCCTCAAAGGTGTAGGTATGGTGGCTGACCCAGCAGCGCACTTTGGGCACAGGAGGGATACAGTTCCAAGGCAGGACATCTCTCATCTTTTTTGAGGAGCACAGCAGTGTGGACTGCAGGCTCATCCACCAACTTTAGGGTTTCTCCCTCTGCTTCCTCTTATTCACTGCCAACTCTCACTCACTGATGACAACCTTAGTGTATATTTACTTATTTTCCCAGACTTTTCTCAGTCATGTCATAATTCTATGATTCTATGTCATCTCCTTCAGATTGGAGGTATTTTGGACCATACTCTTCCAATCCTTGAAGGGCCAACAGAGGCTTCTAAGAAAGCACTTTTGTGATGTTACAATGGTGCAAATACCATACAATGTACCTGTTTGCCTTCCACCCAGTAAACAAAAATGGGGGAGCAGAAACAAAGCTGGAAGGAAAAGAGAGAGATTATAAGGAAGATCAATAGCTGAGAAAACAAGCACTGTTACAATAGGAATGTTAATTATCAGCATGTTCCTGAGTTGCTGGGGTTGTTTTTTTACAAAATATCTGGGAAAATAAGTTGTGTCACAGGAATTATGAGTTTTCTCCAGAGTACTTTTTTACAGTCTTTTAATGGCCGTTCGCGGGTAAAACATGCAGTGGACCAGATTATTCTACAAGTTAATACCTTCATTTGTAATAAAATGATGCTGAGCCAAAGTTTGATATTGGCCTTATAAATTACTAGATCTGTAACTACCATTTCCCTGGCAGTAAGTACACAATGAATCAGAGTACATTAAAATTTAATTATTGCTGAATGAGATTTCAGAAAATCTAATGAATAAATAAGGCAAAGAAAGTCTGATGTAATTAATAAGAAATTAAATTGCTAAATGTAAATCGACTTGGGCCATCCCATCAGTTTCAGTAAAATTCTTAAAAGCAAAATTTTTATAGGCCTAAAACTCAGAGTGTGATTCTTTGAAATGTCTATGAACCATAGCTACAGAAACTGCATGGGGCAGCCGGCCAGCCAGCTAGTGGAGTTATGCAAGAAAGCAACTGAGGTTTCTCATTCACTGCCTCAGCTGAGTGATCCTTGCATAATTCAGAGAAAGATAAGCACAGATGTCAAAAGGCACTTACAACACAACGTGTGTTTGCCTGGCAGCTATACTGGCAAAAAAACCCCTACCATAATTTAAAGCTCATAACAGACTAGCATGAGCCAAAAGCTCTGTCATCTTCCAGGGACCACTGAGTCAGCTTTATGCATGAAAACCCAGCCACTCTCACACTGTAACACATAATATGTGTCAAAAGATCAGAGCAAGAAAAAGAACATATATTAAACTAGAAAGCAGTGCACAATTCATAAACAAAGGCTATTCCTCTTCTGTTCATTCCATCCATATAGGTGCCAACTGGTTTAATTTTTACCTAACTAAAAATATTTAAAATTACCCATATTTTATAACTGAAAATTCAGACGGCCATGGAGAAGAAAAACCTACAGAGATTTTCTCTGAGCTAAAGCATCCTGGTTTTCTGTGGATTTGTTTTGCAACATGATATACAGCTGGCACTTCAACAGCCACCCTGTCATAATCTTCCACATATTCTCATTCGCCCACTCTGACAATATCTCCATTTTCTTTCCATTCACCCACTCAGCCTCTCATTCCCTAACATGCCCTCGTAACATATGCCTTCCCTTTCTGCCTACATTCCCTGCTTCCCATTGGAATAAGCTTGCACCTCCTTAAAAGTCCTTATCAGCTCCTACACTTGAGCTAATCTACGTTCAATCCAGGTACTGGTTTTCCAAAACTTTGAAACAATTTTGTGTTCTGAGCATCATCCTCGTGCACCAAACACCATTGAACCTCACCAGGACTTCAAACCTCCTCTTGCTCATGGAGTACAGGAGCCAAATGCTGACAGACAGGGCGATCTCAGGTGTCTCATTTCCCCATAAAAGGTGAAAAATCAAGATGGAAGTGAAAGCAAGAGTTTACCTTGCCACGTGCCATTTGCGATCCACGAGTAAGTGGACATCCTCAATTCTTCGGTTGTTAGCGTAGTGCAAGCGTTTAGGCAGGTGCTGTTTCAAGTAAGGCTTGAAATGCTGGTCTGGCTTTCTGCACTGAAAAATAAATTGTTACAAAGGACACTGCTGTCAGTTAGCTTAGACGCACATAAAACCTTGAATTACAGAAATCAAGCGGTTAAGGTCATTACTGGTGATGACTTGAAAACAAAGTGTACATCTAGAGTACGTGGTCTAGCCCCGTCTGTGCAATATTTATGTAAGACCAGGGAGTCATTCAAAGACGTATTTGGAAAGCTGCGCTCTCATGACAGTCTTTTTGAAAGCATCATGTGAAACATCACACTTACTTAGTTCACGGATGAAGAATTTTAGTATAACTGGACCAAAGCTTAAGTTTCAGAGGAAAGCTGAATGCTCAAAATACATCTTGTCCACAGATATATTTAAAATCATCTGGTTACAAAATTTGATTTTTTTTTTTAATCAGCTTTTATTTTAAACACTTTTTTTCCATTAAAAACAAGGTTATAGTTGAAGACTATCAAATGAACTTTTTCAGCGTCTTCAAAGTGCTAGTAAAATATTTACCCTAAAAGATTACTTTCCATTTCTGAAGGAATGAATAAATAGACTCAATTCAAGGAGTAAAGATCGTCAGGGAGATTCTGGCTCTGCACTGCCCAAAAAGGTTATAAAAGCTACTACAGCAGCAAACAGTGGAATTTATGACACACATTAATCTGTATTTATGAAGGGCACCTTTTAACACTTTATTCATGCTAATGGTTGGTTTTCCTGCCTGGAGACTGAAGAGAGAATGCTGAATAATGCCTCAAAATAGGATGTGAAGTGAGCAATGCTATATAGACAGAGATACTTCCCACTCCTAAATACTTACTGTAAGGTTGGCAACAATTACTTTGGGGTCATCTGTTAAGCAAAGGGGAAAAAAAAATACAAAAGATGAAAAATTTGCAGAAGAAAACACAAGGTAATAAAGCTGTTTCATAGAAGCATTATTCCTAAAAGTCACCTGATCTTCACTAAAAGCAGACTGTATATATTAGCTAAGATATCCTGAATATAAACTAAAGTTTAACTGTATACTTAGTGATACTGTAGTTGCTTAGGTAGTGTTGTTAACTAGTTTATAATTTGGGCCTTAGCTTATATTTATTCCACTTTCTGAAAACATATATTTTCAAGTCTTTGGACTGCTTTCCTTTAAAATAATAACACAAAGACTTTCCTTGAAAATTTTTGAAACCACATTTGAATGCAACAATGTGCTTCCTTAGAAGCAGTAAGATAAATACGTAGCATTTTCTTGTCTATTTTAGCACTTCATATATTCCCTAGGCTACTAGAGAGTAAGTGAAAAGCCACACTAAAATATTCTGGACACGACTTGGGACTACTAAAGAGACATGCAAGATGTAGAAAGCCCAAAACCAGCAACCATCCACACTAACTCTGTATTCTTCCAGAGCAGGAGGGGAGCATTTTTCAGTTCTGAGAGAAAAAACAAGCTAAGAGAAAAATTTAGAAAATTAAAGTATCTTGCTTAACTATTATTATTTTGGTTGTTTCAGGCATGATCATGCTGATCTTGAAATCTACTGAATCTCAAAACACAAGCTACAGGCCAATGGGATGAAGTTCAACAAGACCAA